TCCACCTCCTCGACGCGCTGCAGCCCGGGTCGACTCCTGGCCAGAAACAAGGAAAATGGCCAGTAAATGAGCCCCCCGGGCGCGAGAAGGTTAGGCTAGCGGAGCGTGCATTTATTGGCCTTTTCGCCAAGATTTTGACCCGGGCTACAGCGCGTCGAGGAGGTGGACTTGACCCGACCTGAACGCGTGCAATACGGCAGATCAACACCCGTGAAGAAGGACCGAGTTCTGACGTTTCCGTCCACAGAAGCAGCGGACAGCTGAGTGGCGAGCGCGCTGTGGTGTGGTCCGGAAACCGTCGGCTAAGGGTTCGAATCCCAACCGCGGAACCTTTTTCCCACTCTGTTGACCGGCTCCCGGTGATATGCTCATCTCGGCTGTCGCTGACTCCCGAATACAGAAAGGGAAAAAAGTTCCTCGGCGGGGATTCGATCCCTGAGCCGACGGTTTCCGGGCCACACCCCAGCGCGCTCGCCACTAAGCTGTCCGTTGCGTCTGTGGACAGAAACGTCAGAACTCGGTCCTTCTTTACGGGTGTTGATCTGCCGTATTGCACGCGTTGAGGTCGGGTCAAGTCCACCTCCTCGACGCGCTGCAGCCCGGGTCGACGCCTGGCCAGAAACAAGGAAAATGGCCAGTAAATGAGCCCCCGGGCGCGAGAAGGTTAGGTTAGGCTAGCGGAGCGTGCATTTATTGGCCTTTTGGCCAAGATTTCGACCCGGGCTGCAGCGCGTCGAGGAGGTGGACTTGACCCGACCTCAACGGCAGATCAACACCCGTAAAGAAGGACCGAGTTCTGACGTTTCCGTCCACAGACGCAGCGGACAGCTGAGTGGCGAGCGCGCCGGGGTGTGGCCCGGGAACCGTCGGATCAGGGATCGAATCCCTGCCGAGGAACTTTTTTCCCTTTCTGTATTCGGGAGTCAGCGACAGCCGAGATGAGCATATCCCCGGGAGCCGGTCAACAGAGTGGGAAAAAGGTTCCACGGCTGGGATTCGAACCCTGAGCCGACGGTTTCCGGACCACATCACAGCGCGCTCGCCACTCAGCTGTCCGCTGCTTCTGTGGACGGAAACGTCGGAACTCGGTCCTTCTTCACGGGTGTTGATCTGCCGTATTGCACGCGTTCAGGTCGGGTCAAGTCCACCTCCTCGACGCGCTGTAGCCCGGGTCGAAATCTTGGCGAAAATGCCAATAAATGCACGCTCCGCTAGCCTAACCTAACCTTCTCGCGCCCGGGGGGCTCATTTACTGGCCATTTTCCTTGTTTCTGGCCAGGAGTCGACCCGGGCTGCAGCGCGTCGAGGAGGTGGACTTGACCCGACCTGAACGCGTGCAATCCGGGAGACCAAGACACGTAAAACAGGACCGAAGTTCGAACTCTTCGTTGACAAGTGGAGCCGACAGCCGAGTGGCGAGCGCGCTGGGTCGTGATGTATACGACACCGTTCGCTCTGGGATCGAGTCCTATTCGAGGCGAACATTTTGATTATTTTTTTGGCAGGGTGGGGGG